TAACCTGCTGACTCCTCAAAATACACAGCAATGTCTTTGCCACCTCAGATAAAGTAACACTCAAACATAACACTGATTAGCATTTAAGAAATACACTTTTACCATATTATGTATTAGATGCATTTACAATCTGGTGCAGTTTTCTAGATTCTTCTCCATCATCAGTAACATCAGGAGCAATCAAACATGCGCTCTTAAATTAATTCTGCACTGGACAATGAGCCCAAACACACAAATATAAGAACTATTATAAGAGATGAGAAGAAGGAGTCCCTACAGCAGATTTGGTCTGGCCCCACAGAGCCTGATCTCAACATCATTGCATGAACAGACAGTGAGGCAGTGTAAATCCACAGAAGAACTGTGGAAGTTCTCAGGAGTTATTCAAGATACCTGCCGAGTATCTGAATAACTTGTGGCAGTGTACGCGAGGAGAACTCGGTACAGTTGCTTGAATGAGAGGTCAAGCATCACTCTAAGTTATTACGTTCATCCTGAGGGGGAAATATATAAATTTAAATCAAAACACAAATGTCTGGGCTAGAACAGTGACATGTTTTTGGAATGAAAAAACGATTTGAATATTGAAACCAAAGCTTGAACCCCTTTCAGTGCCAAAATGAAATGTCACTGTTCTGCCTCATTTAAAAACATCAATGCTCATTGGTGGTGTTCATGGAGAAAAATCAAGGGATCACTCAAGCTCCGTTACGGCGTCATCTCTGGGGACCATGAATGTCTGGACGAAATTCACACCATCCATTCAAAGCTGTCGATGATATTTGTTGAGATATTGGACCAGAGTGGTGGATTGTCCAACAGACAGAGCCATGCCACATACTGCATTATGGCAATGAATGGAGGGCAAACAGATAATTCACGTTTTCTGCTACTGAGCCTTTAAATAATCGCCGAATTAACTTTTGCGACTCGTCTTCCAACTAGAAAAAGATATTTGGAAGGAAGTAATTATAAAAAAAAAAAAAAAAAAAAACAGGCCTCAGGATCTTGCTGAGGACACATACTTGGGATCAAAACCAATGACTATGATTTATGGAGGGCCTGCTCTGCACCTGAGCTACAGCCACCCGAAACGCTTTTCACACTCTAATCCTGACCTATTGATGTCTCATCCAAAATAAAATAGCATATCACTGAAGCAGCTGTCAGATTTTCACCTGCTTCTCTAACGAGCATTGATAAAATATTAATCTAATATTCCTTTCCCAGTCCTTTTTTTTTTTTTTTTTCTTCACTGTCCTGTCGGTGTGTTTCCACTGTGTGAACATGGCCGTTACCTGTGGTATTGGTTTCTTCTTCTGCTTGTAGAAGAAGAGTCTGATCCGAGCGCAGCACAAACCATCGCAGCTGTCCAGTTCTTCATGATGTGCGCTGCTTTCTTTCAGCCAGCGCGCCCTCAGGCCCCTCCTGGATGGGCTGGGGGAGGCGGCCGGCATGAGCCCCGCGACCCTCGCCATCACCATGCTCTTGGACCGGGCTGCGAACACACAGCCATAAAACACCACATATACAGATATTTTTTTTTATTCAGACGATACATAACAAGCAGTCAGAAAGCAACAGGTCGTGTAGGTCAAAGAGGATTGAATTGTTGTTCTGCCTGATTGTACTATATGTTTCCATTATGTCTGGATCGTGTCTTTTCATTTTCTCTCATATAGAAGTCGTGTTACCCTCACTTCTGTATGCTGTACTGCGCACACATGCTCTGCCAGATCCCTAAGTCATGAACAGACGCACACCTCCTGTCCCGGCCTGCTAGCCCTTTAGATGAAGGGGAGAGGGACTACAGGCACGTATATAACAGAAAGCGATAACTAGAGACTTGTGAAAGAGGGGGTGCAATGCACACCATACATACAGACCACACTCAATATCAGTGCACATTTACAGCTACTCAAACAGAACACATAGCCTCAGGTGAACAGGGACCCTCCTGCTATCGTCGGAGGTCCTTGGAATAGAGCTTATTGGTTGATTCCTATACATATACGAGAGGCTTTTGAGCAGAGAACATAACGTACGACTCCTATGGCTCTGACTGTAGTACATGGATGCTGTTGCTGCTGATCTGGCTGCTTGACAGGCTCGTGCTAGTGATGGCTGATGGTGGCCGACTGATTTCACTCTCAAGCAAAAACGTGTGTAACTGAACTGAGTCAAGGACTAGTTTTAAAATATGGAATGGCTGTGTACAGACAAAGTTTGAGCCCTCTCTATTCTGTCTCATCTACTATAAGCATGATTTTTCAATCTCAACACGTGACATCCAGCATGCGCGTTCTATTTTTTTCTTTTTCGTTGGGGCGGTGTGTGTCGGTTCTTTTTTAAGAAGATATTTTAGTGCACACATCACGAACTGGCTGAAGTTCTTAAGCTCTCGACTACAGCTCTATCTGGTCGGCAAAAGCACAATTACCCATTTGATGATCATCGTATAATTTAAGAAATATACTTGTCGCAGGACATCTCCCCTGCTTGTCCGCATTGATGCTATTTCAAGGTGCCGCCACACTCACACACATAACTACGTGCCATCAGTCGCACATTCACATATATCAAATGTTCAGCTGAGCATGCATATTGGGGTAGAGGGGTGGCATGAGATGGAGGGGGAAGAAAATCAAGTTTATGACATTTTATGTCTCATCTCTCTCTTCTCATCTTTCCGCATACATTGAGTT